GAGAGAAAGAGAGAGAGAGAGAGAGAGAGAGAGAGAGAGAGAGAGAGAGAGAGAGAGGTCTGAGAAACTCTGTGGAAACTACTACTACTAAAGAAATATTTAAAGGGGTATATTTCATATTTGAACATATTTTTTAGGTGAAGATAAAAACAGAAGTATTATGTTAGGATTGGTGTATGCTGAAAAAGTTGTGCCAAGAACAAACAAAATCATATAAAAAGAAGATATTAGTAATCATCACTTCACCCAGAAATAGTTGACTTCCAAGTCATGATTGTAGAAATATCCTTCTGCCCTTTAATATATGCAGATATCTAAATTCTGAACTGCATTGCTTAACCAGGTAGCACTTGTACTTAATTGAGCATACTGACAGAGATGATCTCCCTCCCTCAATATCTGCTTTGTTTCTTCTTGACCTTTTAYTTGCTCCAAAGTCACTTGAGAAATCCATTACACAAGGAAACAATTGAATGAACATGTTGCTGTATTTTTAATATTTGATAATGTTTAAAATATTTTTTGTAAAAAACTGGTGTGCTCTCTTAAGAAAGTTTAGAAATTCCTTCTGGAAGCAACAAGTGGCAGTCATAACATAATACATCCTTTTCCAGGTAAGAAGAAGCCTAAGTTAGAAGGTCACAGAATTGCATTTGTAATATTGTTTAACAACATAACTGCATCCTGTTGGAAGGATGAGGTCTTAGGGAAATTCGACTTTTTTGAGAAAGATATGCCACAAAAAGGAGGGGGGATATCAAAAAGAAATAATAAATGACCCCTTACCAAGACCTAGAAGTCAACTAAGAGATTGCAGTACTCTTCATTGAGAAAAATATTGAGAATGGATATATTGGGTAAGAGAAGCAGCCTCACTTTACTCATGTCAAGCCTCTCAGAGGCATTTGGCAAATCTTGATGCTGAGAGAAATCTCCTGAATCCAACATCTCCCTCAGGGTAAAATAATAGCAAGTGAGTACCTGGCTTCCCCAACCTTACCAGACACTACCCAGGAGACCTCATTCTGTCTTGCATCATGCAGAACACTGAGGGGATTAGCATGACTAAATCACCTGGGGACAACTAGGATTATGGAGAAGTGGGAGGAACCCACAGCAAAAACAATCAGACATAGGTCCTGGTAATCAGCTCATGAACTCCAACAGTAGACCACTTGTGAACTCCATAGCATGACTCACCTATGTACTCAATCAACCAGCTGACATGCACTCCCAGAATCCCACACCATAACAGTTGGTGCCCCAAATGTCCCCATGCATAGAACATTGATGATCCATGCCGGCATCCACAAATACTACATAGATTTCAACTGTAGGAGCAGATCTTTGCACCAGCTCAACTCTGYTAGAATAGACAAAGGTACAGAATCTTGAGTACTTCAGTGAATTACTTGAAGGAAAATAAACAGGAAGGTCTTAGCACCAGTCTTGGCATTTAGGGAGCAAGAGGAGGTACACTGACCTCTGGCCAAATTCAGTGACAATTTTTTTTCTTTTCTCTCCTGAAACTAATTAGTAAAGAATAGAGGTAATTGGCTGGGAKTGTAGCTCAGTGGTAGAGTACAAGCCTAGTATGTATGAGGCACTAGGTTTGATTCTCAGCACCACATATAAATAAGTAAATAAAGTTCTATCAACAACTAAAAAAAATATAATTAAAAAATAATAGAGGTGGTGATTGTTTCTACAAATAAGAAGACAGGAAAATGGGACTCGAATAATCAAAGAAACATGACACCATAAAAATAATAAAACAAAGTACC